CCCCAGGCAGTAACAACCCAGACCCTGAAGCTGCAAGGCCATTCAGTTCTAATCAAGGTGGCCAATTCCAACACTCACACTCGCCTCCAACATTCAAGAGTTCTTTCTCCCATTCTGGACATCATTCCATAGATATATAAACCTCAATAGACCTCACAACCTCTGAGGATGCCTGCCATAGATGTGGGCGAAACATCAGAAGAGAATGCTTCTGGAACATGGCCAGACAGCCCGGAAAACTCAGAGCAACCCAGTGATTCCAGGCATGAAAGCCTTCGATAATGTTTCTCGATTCTTACCAATACGAAGATGGGAACTACTGTGATCTATGATGTAAACAAGACATGTTAGAAAAGCATTGGACCACAAACTTTCCCAAATACATGCAATGCTACACTCCACATGCTCAGTAAATCAGGAAGAGTCAGGCCAGGCGCGTAAAATTACGGAAAGGGCTGAATAAGTCCCGGAAGACCCCCCTCGAACACCCAGGGAAGGCCATTCCACAGATTCCAAACGTCTCTGTCGCCCAATTCCTGGCACAGCCAAGAATGTTTATTAATAGCTAACCCACATCCATTTCACAACACCTTAAGTACACTTTCTATTGTTCCTTGTGCAAAAATGGTTCCTCCTCTGCTTTTCCAAGTTCACAACAACGTCTGTTATAGAACTCCAATATGCCAATGATAGCGTAGTCTGTGCTCATTCAGAAGACCTACAAGCCACTCTAAACACCTTTGCAGAAGCATACGAGATGCAGAAACCGCCGTCGTCTTGCTGCCTTCCAATATTTTTTCCAACACTCTCAGAACTTTCCTCCAGCACCACAGCTCAAAAGCGCCTCTCTTCCTTGGCTCAGCCTTCCCGAAGGTCCAGCTCTCACATCCGTAGGTGACTACAGGGAAGACCATGGCTTGGACTAGGCAATGGATCTTTGTTGCCAGTCTGATGTCTCTGCTCTTGACTATTTTATCGAGATTGGACATGGCTCTCCTCCCAAGAAGGAAGCGTCTCCTGATGTTCTGGCCACAGTCTGCGTCTGCAGTAATCTTTGCGCCTAGAAATACAAACCCTGTCACGGCCTCCACATTTTCTCCCTCTATTTTCCAGTTGTCAATCATTCTTGTTGCCATCATCTTGGTTTTTTTTACGTTTAGCTGCAACCCAGCTTTTGCGCTTTCTTCTTCCACCTTGATTAGAAGGTTCCTCAGCTCCTCCTCGCTTTCGGCCATCAGAGTGGTGTCATCTGCATATCTGAGGTTGTTAATGTTTCTTCCAGCCATTTCCACCCCAGCCTTGCATTCCTCAAGCCCCGCACATCCTCGCATGATGTGTTCTGCATACACGTTCAAAAGGTTGGGTGAGAGGATGCAGCCTTGCCGGACGCCTTTCCCAATCTTGAACCCGTCTCCTGTTCCGTGGTCAGTTCTGACTGTGGCTCCTTGGTCCTTGTACAGATCCTCAGGAGAGAGAGAAGGTGGCTTGGGATGCCCATCCCACTAAGAACTTGCCACAATTTATGATGATCCACACAGTCAAAGGCTTTAGAAGAGTCAATGAAGCAGAAGTAGATGTTTTTCTGAAACTCCCTGCCTTTCTCCATTCTCCAGCATCGGGAGATTGGCAATCTGGTCTCTGGTTCCTCTGCCTTTTCTAAACCCAGCTTGAACATCTGGCAACTCTCGCTCCATGTCTTGCTGGAGTCTTCTTCCTTGCAGGATCAGGAGTGGCCAAAACCACAGGGGCATGACCCCACATGGCCACGAAGCACCCCAGCGCCAGAGCAACAGAAGAAACCCAGCCTGATGAGCTCCTGATTACTTTGAATTCGTGCCTTTGCCAATTCCTGCCTGTGCGCCGAGAGGCCACGACTGTATCTGCTGCATCAGAACACTTCCTAATCTTGTTCGTGGGATAATTACGGGGGCTCCATCCTGCCAAATGAGGCTGTAATTAACCCTAATGGCTCAAAATGTAACTTGGCTAATTCAATGAGATCAATTACTGCTAAATGACTTAATATGACAAATTGCTGCATTAGGGAGAGAGGTGGGGTGTGTGTTTGTGTGTGTGTTCCACGCAGCCCAACACTGAGCACCATGTGTTTGCAGGCAACACATTGTTTTTGTAAATGTCATCCCTTGTTTGGCTTTGCGCTCTTAATGAATGAGCTCGGCAAAGAATGATGGGGCTCTCGGTGTCCAAATGCACCAAATGCAACTGTTTCGCGGCCATCTTGACTGCAGGAACCTATTTGGTCGACTCAGAAATCCACCCAATATTTCAGTAATGACGACAGAGGACTTTTCTTTAGGGAAACCGCCTTAGTATAAGACTCTGGAACATGCGTCAAAATTTTCACTACATGCAAGAAAGGACAGAGAATTTCATCTATGCTGATGATCATGCCATCACCACCCAAGCAGGGGGCTTTGAAATGGTTGAACAGAAGCTCTCTGAAGCTTTAGGTGCTCTTACTGCCTTCTAAAAGGAAAACCAGGTTGCATCATCAGTGTTTAACATTTACACAAATGACCAGTCACTGCAAGAAGAGACAGATTCATCTATGCTGATGATCGTGCCATCACCGCCCAAGCAGGGAGCTTTGAGATGGTTGAACGGAAACTCTCTGAAGCTTTAGGTGCTCTTACTGCCTATTACAAGAAAAACCGGGTTGCACCATCCATGTTTAACATTTACACAACTGAGCAGCCACTGCCAGAAGTGACACAGAGAGCTTCGTCTATGCTGACAATCGTGCCATCACCGCTCAAGCAGGAAGCTTTGAAATGGTTGTACAGAAGCTCTCTGAAGCTCTTACTACCTATTACAGGGAAAGGCAGCTTGCACCATCCATGTTTAACATTTACACAAATGACCAGCCACTGCCAGAAGAGAAAGTTTCATCTATGCTGACGATCGTGCCATCACCGCCCAAGCAGGGAGCTTTGAAATGGTGGAACAGAAACTCTCTGAAGCTTTAGGTGCTCTTACTGCCTATTACAGGGAAGCCAGCTTACTCCATCCATGTTTAACATTTACACAACTGACCAGCCACTGCTAGAAGAGACAGAGAGTTTCATCTACGCTGATGATCCTGCCATCACCGCACAAAGAGGGAACTTTGAAATGGTTGAGCAGCAGCTCTCTGAAGTTTTAGGCGCTCTTACTCGCTATTAAAGGGAAAACCAGTTATTCCGAATCTATCCAGCTTTTTTCTTTTGGAGTGGACTTTGGTTATAGTTATTCAAGCTTGGTCTGGGACTTCGCATCATTCATATCTTTACACTTGGAATTCATACATTCAGACTTGGAAGGAGCTGAACAGACCACGAGATGCAGAGCCAACCTTAAGAGATGGGGCCACAAAGTGGAGTCCACGACATGCAAACCACAGACCACTTACTACAATGCAACCTGAGCCCTGCCACACGCACAATGGAGGACCTTCTTATAACAACACCAGAGGCACTCCAAGTGGCCAGCTTCTGGTCCAAGGACATTTAGTAAACTTTGTTTGTGTTTGCATCTCAAGCTAGTAGATGTTATGGGCCAGCATTGCCCCCCCCCCCCGCTTAATATGCCACGGACATTATTATTATTATTATTATTATTATTGTTATTATTATTATTTACTTTATTTGTATCCCGCTCTTCTTTCTCAGCCCTTAGGCGACTCAGAGCGGTTTACAACAATTTAGGTATACACAATACAAAATCATTAAGCATTTAAAAGCAATAGCATCACAAATCATTAAACGTCAGCATCAATACATCACTACATCAATATAACAAATCCATCAGGTCTCATCCATGAAATCAGAATCCAAACTCGTTATCTGATATTCCGTGTTCCGACAGTCAGTCAATCAATCACACTGCTTAGTCAAATGCCTGTTCAAACAGTCAGGTCTTTACTTTCCTCTGGAATGCCAGCAAGGAGGGGGTCGATCCGATATCTGCAGGAAGGGCGTTCCACAGCCGAGGGGCCACCACTGAGAAGGCCCTGTCTCTCGTCCCAGCCAGGCGTGCTTGTGAAGCCGGCGGGATCGAGAGCAGGGCCTCCCCAGACGATCTTAATGTCCTAACTGGTTCATAGGAGGAGACGCGTTCGGACAGGTAGGTCGGGCCAGAACCGTTTAGGGCTTTAAAGGCTAAAGCCAGCACTTTGAATTGTGCCAGGTAGCAAATTGGCAGCCAGTGGAGCTGGCGCAGCAGAGGAGAGGTGTGCTCCCTGAGTGCCGCTCCTGTTAGCATCCTGGCTGCCGATCGTTGGACCATTTGAAGCTTCCGAGCAGTCTTCAGAGACAACCCCACGTAGAGAGCATTGCAGTAGTCTAAACGGGATGTGACTAGAGCGTGGACTACCGTGGCCAAGTCAGACTTCCCAAGGTACGGACGCAGCTGGCGCACAAGTTTTAATTTATTTCACAGTTTTGTATACCGAGCTTCTCAACCTCGTTGAGGGACTCAGCCCGGTTTACAGCCATAAAAACATATACATTCATTAAAATATCATATATCACAAATTACAAAACAACTTTAAAAACACTAAATATAAAACTACAGTGGTCAGTCGTCCTATTAAGATGGATCTATATCCACTTCCATCCAGAGTCCTATGGTGTTGTCTCATTCCTCGAAGGCCTGACTCCACAGCCACGTCTTCACCCGTTTCCTAAATGTTAGGATGGATGGGGCGGTTCTGGCCTCCAGAGGGAGAGAGTTCCAGAGTCGTGGGGCCACCACCGAGAAGGCCCTGTCCCTCGTCCCCACCAGGCGCGCTTGCGAGGCCGGTGGGACCGAGAGCAGGGCCTCTCCAGATGATCTTAGTAATCTTGATGGTTCGTAGGGGAGAATACGTTCGGAGAGGAAAACAGGTACCACATTTGTGTCCATTGGCTACAATAATAATAATAATAATAATAATAATAATAATAATAATAATAATGGCAGGAGGCCAGAACGAAGTGAGGAAGCGAGGAAGGGCTGCTTACTTGTGCCTCATGCTGGTAGTCCTGGGTTGCCACTTTGCAGAGCGGGTTGTTCTGGTCCCCTAGATGATGCGGATGATTATGCTGGCCTTCCATCGTCGCATGCCAAAGGCCGCCTTTCAGCT